TATATAAAGAAGTAAATCTGTGTACTCTGGAATGTTTCGATTGTAAAGTTTGCTTTCAACATTAAAATGATAAGTTAATTTTCAGAAAAAAACTATTGGAAGCGTTAAAGAATCAATGACAGACCAATAGTTGGTAGATAAGCAGCTGTTAATATATGAATCCGAATGAATTTTTGTTCAGTCTGTCAGCAGGATTATGCTACGATTAAAGACCAATCTTCTTAATTGAGAAGTGTCGAAAGACACGTACACAAGAGCACTTGTCATATCAAAACGTTCAAACATTCATCGAATGTTCCTGAATGAAGTGACATTTGTCTCAAAATTATGTATTAGAGTTAGAAATCAGTCGCAAACGTGATTTTGATGCATAACCATTTGCTAGAAAAACGATCAATGCATTTAAAATATACATCACATTTTGATTATGTTCATTACCAGTGGTTGCTAACAAAATCCCGCAATGTAACTGTGAAGTGTTCGTTTCTTTGAGAAATTTTCAAGCGGAATTCGTGTTCAATAAGTACGTTATCTTTGTCATCAAGCCGTAATATTGACGAATTTTGTCATATCGATTATTTATTTGAATTGCTTGTAATCGATTACCATTTAAGTGCTCAATTAACTGTTCGACTGTTACAACGATAGGCCCGTTTTAATTCCAACAAGTTTCGCCAATAGTTCAGGGGAAATTATTAGAAGTAATACAAAACTGATAGTACACAAAGAAATAGTCCGAGGCAGAGCAACGTTTCTGTCAAAAGATTGAAGAACATGTTAGAGAGCGCTTAGATGACTTCGTATACTTCTTCAAAGACTTTCAGATTTTTCTCGTGCACTTACCGCTGCACAAAAACCTTTAATTGATTCGAAAGATTTCATGTAAGCATCAAAATGTTTTAACAAATTCTATCAACGAACAATGATTTGTCATCTTTTTCTTTTCGAGTTTTTTGATAGTTAATTGTAAGTGAATAAAGAAATCCAAGCGTATTCTCTGAATGCTTATCGAGTTTATGTTAGTCTGAAAATAGTATGTCTTGAAGAGGGCCGCCGAGTTTCTCAACTTTTCATTGTAAAAATGTCAATCATTGATGGTTTCATTGGTAATGGTTAACTTGCAATCTCGTGCCTGACATCATAATTTGAAATCGTATGAAAGAGACAAGATCATGAAGATATGAATCGGTACAAAAAATACACATGTGTGCATAAAACACAGTAGTGATCAATAAGTGACTTGAATACTGATCCAGTCGAATGAATTTGGAATATTTTCGTGTAAAATGTATTGTAATAATATTCTCTGCCTCTTTTATTCACGGTGTGATTCGGGCAAAAAGTTTCGTCATTTATAAGATGTCGGTGGTTTAAAAGAATCGGGAGTCGAAAAGAACTTAGCGCGTGAAATATTCGAATGGTTACAGATTTCTCATGATGGTCGTCTTTTTATGACTAGGTCAGCGAGCATGTTTTACTAAAATCACCTTGAGGGCGATTTAGCTGATAAGTTCAACGTTTTTTAAAGACTTAGGCGTGCTCTTAGGGCGCTGCACAGGGAAGTGTTTATTTGAGGCGAATGACTCCAACATGTGTGAACATTTCATTTTATTTTTATTGCCTTTTAATGCACCCGAGCGTCCTCTCATGTCTTTCTCATTCAGCTCATCCGATCCTCCATATGTCTCGTTTACTATACAGCGCTCAAACAATTAATTAGAAATTTTTTTGCCCGGAATTTGTATGGGTTCACATCGCAGTTTTTTGAATAACTGAAATATGCTTAAAGAAATAAAGTCGATGCTTGCTATCGTTACCAGTCACATTCTTTCATACCAGCTGCTTCAGTCAACAAATTTTATCTCATTTCTGTCCTTTTTCAAACACAAATGATATTTGACGAACACTGTTCAATGATTAAAGCAATGTGGTTTGATCACAATACAATCAATAAAATCAGCAATGTCTGACCGATTGCTCATAGTTGCTGTGTTGTGCCAGTATTAATCGAACGAACACTTCTTTTCAAACAATCAGCAACAACTCAAGCAATAGAACCATCTTTCTTCATCAATTCGAATAGCATTTGATCAACCATATGAATGTGTTGAGATTTCAGTGAAACACTTATGAAACATCCGATCACATCCGAACTGCTTGCTTTTCGTTTCCTTTGCTCATTTCAATTCTGTCCCGTTCAAATTCAAATTTCTGTATTTCTAGACGTATTTCAGGGTTAACCTTCTCGTCTTACATAACCATGTATAGCGCTTATATGACCAATATAGGAGTGATCGATTGAATGAAATCAATTGAAGAAGTCACACAATGATAAGACTGATTGAATTATCAGCCATGATAAGACGTTTTCTCTCCTCATCACTTCTCTTATCAGTTATATACTCGTCGATCTTTACCATAAACTACGACATTGTTTTTGTCTTTATATCATAATTGGTACAGCAAAGTTTATATAATCTTAATACTTGGGCATTTGTATGATTTGGTTATTTTCAGCAGATTAATAATTATTAAAATCCTTTGCCTTTTATCAGTAAATTCAATCGTTTTTTGAATGGGCACATACAAATTAAGTAAAGCTTAACAGTCTTCGCCAATTAACCTTCGCCTATGACTTCAAAATAAGTAATCTTATAAAATATCTTCAAGCCATAAAAGGTCAGGAAATAACGATTAAAGAACACAGTAAACTGCTCAAGTATGCTCTACTGGCATGACGAAATTTTTTTCGCTTGCATCATTCATTTTTAATTCCAATATCAACATGCTGAGGCGTTCATGGATTTTGCATCATCGATTGTCACAAATCGTTCATTGCAATCACGTCGCTTTTCTGAAGCTGTTATTATTAATTCTTAAATCGAATATGTGTGAAAGTGCTAGATTTCTCGTTATAGTTTTGTGCATTCACAATTATGAGCTGCCTACGAACAAAGGAAGTGCTTCCACAGTCAGTCACAAAATACTTCGAATTTACTCTCAGAACTACGGCTGTCCTGCTGAGGAGCAAGCCGCGTCTCGAAAAGCGTTCATTTAGTGTGATCGGCATTCTCGCAGTCGTATCCTATGTTTAAAAACGCGTTTTTTATTTGATGCCATCCGAAACGTTCCTTTTCACATAACTTCACAAATCATACGATGTTTCTAGGAAACGAGATGTCTGAATTGGTCTCGCAATTGCTCGTTCATCCAGACATTTCGAGACCTCGATGGGATCAATCAACGTTCGAGGGTCGAGCTCGTCATTTCTTCGCCATAACAAATCCACTCAATTTGTTTGTATCGAATAAACGTCTTGAGGAGTCAAAAAAATTAGTCATAGATTACAAGTAAACATTTCTCAGTTATCATTCTTTTCAAAAAAATGTAGCACCAAAATTTCATTGATTGCACGTTAAGGAACATCTATAAGATACGACTGTTAACAAACACCTCCATCTTTTATCATTCAAGCTCAAAAGACGTCTACAGTTCCTAGGAATTCAGCATTAATTTAAGGCTCATTGAAGTGCACGAAACTTTAATCACGTTTATTGTCTAATCAACATGTCGTGATCAGGAGTGGGGTCGTGCCACCAGATCTAACCGTAAATCAGTTATGGCGAGCAAAACAAATATTCGATTCGGCATATCATCCGACCACGATGGAGAAGATGATTCTTCCAGGCCGAATGAGTGCACAAGTTCCGGGTAACATGCTGCTAACTGGAGGAATGCTCACATTCTACAAGTTCGACCTTTGCATCTTTCGCACTGCTAGAGACTGGATACCAAATTCATTAACTGCCCATCTCTTTATTTCATAAAACCAATTTTATGAGTCCACTAAAGTTTCTGATCGACGTTTTGTTTTCTCACAAGTTGTCGTGACTTGCTGGAAGAAATGGGCATGATTCGAAAGAAAAATCAGGTCACGAGCAAAGTATTGTGCTCAAGCGACATGTCATTTGAAGCTGATAACGAATAAAACTGAGAATAATATTTTCAGATCACCAGCTGCCGTGATCTTCTGGCAATGGCTGAATCAAACGTTCAATGCAGTCGTTAATTATTCGAATCGCTCAGGAGAAACCACTTCAACGAAGCAGTTGGTTGCATCATATGTGTGTGCCACAGGAGGTGCTCTTGTAGCTGCATTAGGTCTTAACTCACTCGTGAAGGTACACTTAATACCATATCAATTGTTATTAGTTTATCATTTGCCATTTTCGAACATCATATCGTATTCAATTCTATCAAAAATGTTGCTTCTCAGTGAAATGCTCACCGTCCAAAATGTGTTTACTAAAACAACAAAAGTGAAGTGTTGACTGATGAATGCAAATGACTTTGACCTAGTAGAAAGGGCAATTTGTTTTAAAAAATTACATTCATGCTTGAACGTGAGTGGTTGGATATGTTGAATTAATTCATCCGGAAAGCCATAGGAATATCACAGCAAGAGCGACCACTCTACTGAGAATGAATGGATTATCCTAGTAACATGAAAATGTAGTACAGTAACTTGCAGAGTGCACCGCCACTTGTAGGACGTTTGGTACCATTCTGTGCGGTCGCTGTCGCCAACTCCATAAACATTCCAATGATGAGATCTCAGTAGGTTTTTCTATGATACTTTAGTTGTCGATCATCTCATCTTGTTGTTCTTCTTTTCTGTGAAACGCATTGAATTCTTTTGATGGTTAACGTCTTGTTTGATTTTACAATTGTTTAACTTGAGTATAGTTTATTTATTAACTGCTGGAACCTTACAGAAAAATATTTCATTACAAAGTCGTTGCATTACGTTGCACTAAATAATACGGAATTATACGAATTTCGGCGACACGATACTATCAATGGTTTTATAAAAGAGCAACGCCGAAAATGATCTGGCTTGATGAAATTCAAGCTGCTCTGTAAATGAATTGCTTGATCTTCAGAGAGCTTGTTGATGGTATCGATTTATTGGATGAAGATGGCCACAAAGTGGGCGCCAGTAAAAAGATCGCTTATAAGGCTATAAGCATGGTTGTGGTCAGTCGAATAGCGATGGCTTCACCAACGTTCGGTGCGTTCAGATCATTATTTACACAACTTCTCCTCACATAGACGTGAACATGTGGCTGCTTATAATTACTTTAGGATTACAAATGATAGATTGTTACCTAATATTTTTGTTTTCAGCATTTATTCCCGTTGTTATGAATTCAGTGGTCAAAACCGACTGGTATAAGGTACAGTTTCAGTGCAATTTCTACTCTATTCCTCAGTCTTTACATTCACTTTATATTATTTCACGAATGATCCTCTCAGAACAAACATTCGAGCGTATGTATCAACAACCACTATAAATGAAGTTGTTTTTGAAATAGAATGAAGCTAGTTGATGATACTGAAGTTGTTCAACTTCCGACTAATTCTGATTGATTGAGAGATTTTAAACGTTACTAAAATCAACAACAATGGTCTTAAAATTATTGAATAGTTCAATACGTCAAAGTTTCAGGTGAGACCGTGGATATCAGCACCGTTCCAGGCAACATTAGCTGGAGTGATTCTCGTCTTCTCCACCCCACTTTGTTGCGCTCTGTTCCCTCAGCTGAGCTCAGCAACAATCAAAGATTTGGAACCAGAACTACAAGAAAAGTTGAATAAGTTGCCGAATCCGCCTCGAATTCTTTACTACAATAAAGGTCTTTGAGGCATCTAGCAGTCATTTGCATTGTTCAGGTTTCCGTAATTTTCATTATTTCGTCAACAGATGCACTTTCAACAATTTATTCGCTACAAACGGACATAGCAAAACGTTTAGGAAATTATATCATCTTGAGAATGACTTTCCTGTTTGATCCAAAAATAATTGTTGAATTGATTAATTAAACATGCTCCAGTCTGAAACGCTATTTCATTTTGAGTTTGAAAAAAGCTATTTCATTGCTATTTCATTGTTTGGTCTGAAACGCCATTTCATTGTGAGTTTGAAAAAAACTTATCTTCGTTCAGTTGCTCAACAATTCCCTCGTTAGTAATATCGATATACGCTGTGATTATATGATCACTCTAATCTGTCAAAAATCTAATGATATCGACATCACAATACATTATTGGTTGTTTATTGTAAACAGTTGTTGGGTGTCATACGAATACTAGAATCGTTAAATTACGCAACATATTTCCTTCCAGATTTTGAAACGAACAACAATGTGATATCATGATGTTTTTGTATGATAAAATTTTAGACGATACACTTTCACGTATCATACAGAAGCGGCATGTATACAAATCACATAAATTCGAATTCTGGTAGCATTCAGAAAAAACAAACATGAAAGTCAGCTCCGAGATAATTGAAGCAAGTGAGATCTCTAACTGACATTGTTGTCCGTCGGAAAGTTACATACCAAAGGTCATCTGAAGACTGTTTGTTACGAATTTTCAATTCTTCTCCCAAATATTTCGTTGCAGTTGAAACAGTCTACAAGAATCGAGTTAAGAGGATTATGCAAAACTATTATCATCAATATGGTTGCATTTTATGGGTCTGCTTCATATTTGTAGTGAAAAGTCAAACGACAATGAATATATTTGACTTATGAACGCAAATAACAAATAGCAGACTTAGAAGAGACGTATTGTGTTATTTATTGGATAAAACCGTGGAATATACTAACTTTTGCAAGTACGATTCAATTTGATCACTCAATTCGGGAGTATTTTCACCAGTATACCATAACGCCAATAATTGTGCAGCAGAGTTGCAGTTTTCGCGACATATAATCGACATTAAATCAAGCAAAACGTAGAAGAGACACTGCCAAGCCTGTAGAGCATGTTATTCACGTTCAAAACGCTATCAGTTCATTTTTATTCGGCTAAAAAAATTGATCTAAAAAGCGTTCGACGAGTTAAACAAACGATCTAAACGACATTTGTGAATGACAATGTTTTGTGCATCGACCAAACAGTTGTGACGTTTTCTTAAAAGAAACGAATATGATGAAAGGTAAACCTCGACATGAGTATTAGCAAACGTAGAAAATGAACGAATGATATTATGCTGAGATGCGATTGGTTTTTTGAGTGATTGCATGAATCGATGAAGCGCATAAAGTATGTAATGAATATCTTCGCGCATATTCTCCTCAATGAATGCTTTTGCATTGACCATATTGAATTCAGCACTCTTTAAACTCTTCTCAAGTTCACAGTCCATTTCATCGTCATTTGGATGCTTCAACAAGCTGCACAACTGCTTTGCAACTTCGGTTGATGAAATTTTCCTTCAACCATAAATATTTCAAATATAGCAATAAACGCAAAGAACTGTTGCACAATACTGTTTTACTCGGCTAGCTTGGCTTAATTCTATCATCGAACAAAATCACACTTGTATTAACTACGTTCAAATCGTTCATTGATTCTAAGTCGACAGTCCATGTATTCACGATCATTAGCAAAGTTGCCTCGCATCATTATCAATAATTTATCGTCAATAATCAATTACGACCTTGCAATAGAAGACAGTGTACTTAATAGAGAAATCCGAAATGAATATTGCACTCGAATCATTATTGATTAGTGATTGTTAATTCAGAATCACTCGAAGTCATTAATTTATAAATGAGTAGAAATTGTTGAATTTCTTGAGTCAATGCTAAAGATGTTATCAAAAATTTGCTGACCTCTTCAATCCAAAATATTTGGAGTATTCACTGTGCGCGATCTCACAGTGCGAAGCACATGGCTGAAGAATGTTTGATGCTTCCTGAATCTTCGATTCATCACTTTTCGAAGCCGCGAAAATATCTTTCAGCAAAACTATGCGAATGTGATGTACAATCTGAAAAAGAAAAGATTGCTATCTGTGAAGTATTATGATAGCTGCCTTCCTTTAATGTTATCCTTTCAAACTTTGCACACTTCAAAATATATTATGAAACATAAACTAAGGATGGTGGTGTGTGTGTTATGAATCAATAATGAGGGTTGCAGTGCTTAAGCTTACTTTAGGGATATGACTGTAACGACGTGCCTCTGAATTACAAAGGACTTTTTCTTGAATCTGAAGGTAATCATTCAGTGACATCGTTCCATGTCGAGGGATCACTTGCGCATCGTTCACAAGGAAATCCCAAAATGCATTAATGAGGCCAATCTGTACCGAACTTTGCACCGAACGTGGTCTGTACAGTTTTCGATTAGACCATAAACCATAGAAGATAAGAAACGAAGGAAAAAATGAAACCATATAAATTCAGGACGAATGAACTGCATTCGTAATGCACATAATGTACACAACTATTAAACACAATAAAATTTACGTAGTACTGCGTTTATAAATTGATGAGTGCAATAACGAAATTCGGCATTCGCATCACAGTGTAAGAGTGAATCCGATTATGCAAAAAGCAACAGCAATCGAAATAAAACGAATCCTAAGGAGGAGAACGAAAGAAAAGGCTTTCCAAGTAACCGTTTTTTTCTAACGAAGCTTATGGCTTCATCAGGCGATAAATGATACCTCCAAACAAGGTACGATGCCACAATAACACCAGTTCGTCCAAGTCCTGCGTGACAGTGTACTGCAACACAGCCTGAAACAATTGCCAGTTGGTTTAGAAAGTCATCTTGAAATTCATTTCCATGATTGGATAATTTGCGTCGACAATTCAACATATGAACAGGTAGAACCCAGTAGTATAAGTCAGAAACTATCTCAATAAGAACAAATAAGATTTTGAAAACAATGGTGGAGAAAATCGAAGTGTAAAGCTGCGACACGATCCAAAATGAGATTCTTGTTGAAATTGCGTGATAAAGAAGATATATTCAGGAAGTAGAAACCTTAATATGAGAAGTGAATATTTCGATGGAAAATTCGACAGCAAATGCTCAAATGTGACAATTTTGCTATTTACAATCGAATTATTGCATATGACCTCAGAGAGTAATGCATTCTACCAGAAACGAATAAATGGTGCAAATGCGTGATATTTGCAAAGAAGCATCACCTTCTTCAATCGCGAACTGCATCACTTTAACAACGTTCAAAAGTAATTCCAATCCAAGCACACCGAAATCAGGCCAATCAAAATTGTAGAAATATACTGAAAAAATGTTGGCATCACAACTGGCGAAATTGAAGCATCCTTTATAACAGTAGTTCTCACGCTCGGGTGCTCCATTACCCATTTTGATGATCTGGCACGCCGCCGTTACCCCCCACCCCCCCCCTTTCCTGATAAAAAAACTTACACTTTCTACGTATAACGTTGGGAACAAAAGCAAAACCGGTTCGTAAATTCCTCAGTGGCGTGAAAGAAATTAAGCAAGCATTTTTAGAACCTTATTTTTCCATTACAGAAACAATATGAAACTCGGCAATCAAAAAACGAAAAGCAATAAAAAAACATTCTTCAGCGATAAAAATGAAATCTATTGACAAGTTCAGTTATTCATGAAGAAAAAAGATGCAATAAACATTTGAGGAATTATCTTCGAGTGAACGGAAAAGCAAAAATTCCATCAAAGTGACGGTTAATGAATAGGTAAAAATTCATCGGAGGGACGAAAATAAATCCGAACTATCGAGGGTTTTGAGATGCAACAGGTGCATACAGCCTGAAATTCCCATTCTACTTTTCAAGCATTTCAGTCATTAACATCATAAGAAATGTTGTCGTCCATCAAGGAAGAAGTATTATACCGGTTGAGAAAACATTCATAAGCGATTGAAGAATTAGAAATTATTAAAATTGAAAGAGGAAATCGATTTCATTAAATTCAGAAATACTCGATCTTCCAAAATCAAATCAATGATCTTTTCTATCATACCAAAGAGATCAATCAATTCATATTGCTCAATAGAGACGATGTCAGCCGATACATTAAAGAACTTATAAAATATTAATGACTTCTTCAAACTAAACGATGACGGGCCCAAACCAACTAAAGATACTCAGAAAATAAGCTAAAGACGAGTGTTTCCATGAGCGAGCAGCGTTTTGATATCGGAGTGAAAAATACACTATCACAATGGCGTTTCATCATAACAAAACAACACCAACCATCAGTTTATCGCAATCAGTCCTCAATGTTGATCAGAGATGATGTCGGCCAATATATTGAAGAACTTACGAAACATTTCTCACTGAACACTTTTTTGTTTAGGCTCGGATGAGCTAATGATACTCAGAAAATAGACGAAAGAAGAATGTTGCCATGAACTAATTGCATTTACATACCCAGGTGAAAAAACACAACATAGCAACTGCACGAAATACTAATTTCCCGACCCCCTCCGTCGCCCCTCACAAGACCCCAAATTACCCAAAATGGGTAATTTCACTTCGTATGAGAACCACTGTTTTATAAAGAGGGCACTGTCAAATCTTTCTCAATTTAGTTTTATTTTGGATGAATATGAAACAGTGGTAAAAACAAATATGATTTGCACGGGCACTTTTCAAATGCATGTGATCAAATTTCATATTGGTCTCATAAAGTTTTTATTTACTGATAGCGAAGCAACTCACTTTTATTCCTCATTAATATCTCTGGATCATACGTGAATCCACACGGCAAAAGTGCAGGACCACAGAATGCGTGCTCGCCGGCTGTTTGCATATTGATGACTGTTCGAATGTGCATTCTGAACTCAACTCTCATGATGAAATTCAGCTGATGTTCAGCAGTGAATATAATCGACTTCTCGAATAACTGCCAAAACATTGCAATAGATTGTCAATCTTAATGCTTTCTCGTTAGTCATCTTCACCATTAAATTGCATATGACCGAACGTAAAGATTATATCTCATTCGGGAATTTTACTCACTTTTTGAGTTGTTCGATGAGATTGTATTCACTGAAAGTGTGCACTGTTGGTCTAGCCATCGCAATAATTTTGTCGGTTATCCTGTTCAAAATTTTTTGCGTATAGGCAACAGTTGCAACAAAACAAAAGCTGTACATTCTTATTCTACGGCTTCGGACGGTTCTCAAAAAATGTAAACTCAATGAAGCAATTGTTCTTCTTATTTTGAAAGCATTTCGAAAGCATCTTAAGAAGCGGTGAAATTTTTATTGAGCAAGAGTTTCGATGAATGAAAGCAATCAAATGAACAAATGAATCTATTACATCGAATAATTTGTATTTTGAAAAATAAACAGTTGAGAATGCTACTTGAAATTATGGAACGAAAAACTCAAAGCTGACCATGATGAGTAAATGCCCTGAATTGCTTGCTCACTTGCTTTCCAATATTTTGAAGTGCAGTACTTACAATTCGCACCACGACAATATAATCTGCATTGCACTGAATCAGGCGTTAGTCGAATAATACCAGATCTAACGCTTGAATATGATGCTTTTACTGCAATGCATGAACTGATCATTCATGGACTAATCGGTACAGCATTCATATTAGTTTTAAAACGAACATGCTCTTTCTTTTTCGGATAACAGTGGAAATTTTTGTTAGCGAAATGAATAAGGTTTGTTGTCTTCATTCATCGTTCTTGTTTATTCAATCGAAACGTTGACAGACAACTTTACATTAACTGAATATTTTATTCAAACATGACATAATACAGATATAAAAGACCTTTTCGATTATCGCTCGTTTCATCCATTAATAACCATTACTCAATAAAAATCATCAAAACTATTCAACGTCTACCTGCAAACGGTATTTGAAGGGTTAAATTGGCAGAATAACGATATCATAACTGATGGGAAGAGGCTAAACAATCTCAGATTCGCTAATGATATTGTCCTAATTTCACGCAATTGTAACCACTGCTTCATCCCATTCGATAAAGTAGTAAAACTGGATTGAAGATCAACGTTACCAAAACGAAGACCATGACAAACCATATGACCAACATACCGCTCACAATCGACGGAAATGTTCTTAAAGAATTCATCGAGCTATTAGAGAATCCGCATTAGGGAGAAGGATGAAACGCGGATCGTAATCGTTGTATAAATACAGAGAACTTTTTACTGGTTTAAGAGTTGTCATGGCTTTGAAACGGCGTCTGGACTAAGAACGTGTAATTATGGTGATGTTGTGCGGATCAGAAACACGGACGGTGACAAAGAAAATGAAAAGTATGACGGGACGGCACAAAGAAGGATGGAGTGGATGATGGTGGGCGTGATATTAAGGGATAGGAAATCAAATGAACGGTTAAGGAAGGTGAAGAAGGCTGCTGATTTTGTAAAATGTGCGAAGGAAAGGAAAGTTAAGTGCGCAAGAAAAACAGCGCTAATGGATAGTAACAACTGGACGGATAATAATGGATAATGAAGGAGTGCACAGAGTGCCAAACTAGAATTTGAAAAAAAAAGAGGTTCGGGCTCACTGAAAATGAGATGCCGAGAATACGTATGCGAAACCGCTGGTCATACCTAGATGAGAAGAGCAGTCGACTGTGATAACAATGATAACTGCAGTGATTTTGACGGGGATCATATATCAAATGTGCATTATTTAGCAGAGCAAATAAATGAATAACGCCGCTTCTGAATGAGGTGAATTATCGACGTGTCATCAGAGGTGAATACCGTAGTCTGTCGGAAGTTGGAAAATTTTTTTGATAAAAACTTGTAACGAACGATCAAAACTTGCCCTTTATTTTTGAAAACGGAATTCGCATTCTCTGTGAATGTTCAAAATAGCTGGACGTGCACAAATGCACACAATGAATCATGCTATGAATGCTTGTGCTGAAAAGTGGAAGATCTTTCCGAAAAAAACAACTGAGAACGCATTCTTCACCTTTAGAAACATCAGGAGCACATAGATTGTTTCATTTACAAATATTCACGCAAGTCAACCATAAAACAGTTTTAATGATAAGTTTTCGCCGATAACAGCGAATAGAAAAAACAATGAGTAGATAACGAGAAATAATCAATTATATGCGTACGTATGCTACTAAGTGACTAAAACTTTGCTCAATGCTTTCTGGTCGTCATGGAAACATGAAACATAACAAAACTAACAAAATCCTTCAGCTCAAATGTGAAATTATCTGCATTGATAGTTATCCAGCTAAAAAATGGCCATAATGATGAATGTTTGTATGGAATACTCCGCGAGCATTTTATTTTCCATTTGATATAACCGATTACTTCCATCAACTAAAATAGTCAAACGAAACCATTGACAGAGTTTATTTCAGTGATGTTTTCTTGTTAACTGTTAGTACCACAACAACACACAATTGATAATGGAATTTATGCTTTACAAATCTCCGTTTCAAATGGAAACACATTGAAGGTGAAGAAATAACGGTTAGGGTAGTGAATGTTTCAATATAATATGAAAATCGCACTCATTTAATTTTGTTAAATTTAATGCGACGGCTGAACAAATTAATAAGTGAAACAATAAATAAACATCGGAGAATTTCAGTTTGCATTACGTTAACATGAGAAATATGGTGGATTATAATATGTAAAATAATATAAAATGCAAAATAGACAGCATATAGCATGTAAAACTGAACGAATCATAATCATCAGATATAATCAACTTACGATAAACAATAGTCGCAAATAAATTTGAAATACCAAAACGCATCGGCAGTTAAAACAGTCAGTTTGCAAACATTTCGTAAGGTTGAGACTGACCAGAGAACTTTTTAAAAATTCCATCATTGAAGATTTTCATTGCTTCTCACTATCGTTCGGAATTGAACAGTTTTCGTTATGACCACTACGAATGAGTGCAATGTTTTTTTTTTCATCTTGAAACTCAAGATGAACAAATATGCAGCATAATATTCTTAAAGCACAAAATAACTTTAAAAAATCACACAGCCTTGATTTGAAAATTGAATAAACTCATCACTGAAGTGAACAGTCAATAACACATATTCAAAATAATATATTTACATGAATGTAATGATTGCATAAGAAACATTCTTATATGTTTCAATGGAAAGAAGAGAGTTTTGCTAATGAAATCAAAAGATGAAATGATAACATAAATGGGAACATAGATTACAATCAGTCTGAAGAAAATCTTTCATTACGTAATGAGATTCAGCGTCTTTAATGCATCAATACAATACATTAACTCAACATTCGGATACCCTTTCTCGATAAGCAATAAATAAAGCCGATATGACGATGCAATAAACAGTAAGTGATATCGTTATTTTCCAATAAAGATGCTTACTGAATACGAAACGATTGACATTACACTACGTACTCATCAGGTGAGAATTTATTATGCTAGATTAGAATGAGTGAGTATTCAACGAAGACTGGTCAACAGGAAACTAAATGTAAATAGCATTGAAATTCATTCATGGAAAGACGAACACAAAACACATCAAAATTATTGTACTGCACAGCAGTTATCCAATCACTTAAGTACATCAAATGTGAGTGAGTTTCATTAGGACACCTCAGCGAAACTAATAACTCATTGCAGATAAAAATACTCCTCACCATGCGGAAACTTCAAACGATTTAAGAGACTGCAAACAACGAGAACTTGACGGCAAATTAATCGATAAAAGAAGACAGTAAATGAATCGTCACTGCTCAACAGAGTCAAGAGGCAAATCGAATCAACGACAACCTAATCAATAGTCTTCTGCGCAGTAGATGGTTGTTGTCCTCGACAACAAACAAAGCTTCCATTCATTTCAAATATTCGTCACACAAAGATGAATCAGTGATTAGAGACATGGAAATAAAAAGATGATGACAATACAATGGCATAATCAATCGAACACAACTGGAATAGAAATAAAGAAGAAACGATGAACACGCAAAATAATGTACCTTTCTAAAAGTTTAAAATTTACACAAAACCTTCTAAAACAACCATCGAGAAGCAGATTTACGTAGTAACTGTATCGTCATAAGTACAGCACATCGAACCAAATGTCATTAGCTGACGCGCACATGTTGACTCGGATTTGTGTCAATTAATCGCTCAGTCATTTCCTTCTAAACAACGAAACACTTATTCTTTTTGTATTTAATTAAGCTATAATCAGAAGCATATGAAGATAACCAAAGCCCACTGCCAAAAACATCATCAAGCCATATTAAAAGCACGCTTAGTTTTGACACCAGCAGGGAGATCGCTAATGATCGAATGCTCCGAAAATGACAATTACAAGCTTCGTGGTATTCCCATACAACCTACAGTGATCCTTCCGGATCAAAGTTTAGATTTCTGGCAATCTGTACATTTCTTACAGTTATTCGTACTTCAAACCAATAAGCGTTCAGAAAGAATCAGTTTGTTACAATCGTCAAAAGCACTTCTCCGAAACAGTAGCACATTGAATGCATATTAACGATAGCTCTGAACTGATAGATCAATGAAACATTAACATTACTTACTAATGCATCCAATTCCTTTGTTGAGACCATCCCGTACTCGGTGATGAAAAAATAAAAATGCTTATATAAGGTATTAGCGTGTGGCTCCTAAAAACAAAAATAGATTTAGAATAATTCAGAAATGAACTTGAATAATTCTGAAATCTGCAGCCAACGAACTTTTTGTACGTGCACAGTCATTTTTGCGTGAAGACGACCAACCATGTGATCTGATTCTATTCGAAACGATCGATCAATATTTCGAGCAAAACAGAAGAAAATACAACAAAAGAATCAAACTACCGCGCCGAGTTGTGAAAGACGATCAAAATGGTGAATGTAAATATGCACAAAGACACGGAACAGACGCGTTAGAATCTTCTTGCAAACCTGTCGAAAATCGCGGGGAAATGGTACTGCTGAAGTGATGGTTATTACCATACTGTTCTTTTTTTACATATGAAAAATAAAACAACTTCAACGGCAACTGATAGATTTGATGAATGGAAAGATAGTGATCCGAGTTTTAAAATTCAAGATGGATCATAAGACGGATACATAAACGGATGGCTGAGGGTAAGAAAACAGGCATAAATGGGAACAACTAGTGTTGGTCCCGTTTTTAAAATGTACATGTTTGCTACAGTTTTTTCAATAAAAATCGACTTGCAAAATGAATGTTAACCAGTAATAATAAATAGATCAACTGAATCGCAATTTCATAAGCAACAAACTTGTGCAAGATGGAAATATATTTTCGTCGTTGATACGAATTTCGATCCAATCCATCAGTAGATAGATGTAGTCAGGTGCTGGCAATCTCGTCGGTTTCTTGTAATCCACTCCATCTTGCCATAAATACTCATACCTAAATAACACAAACCTTACATGAGCGCTATCAATCACTGAGAAGTACACGCCGAATAATCTCAACAATATAAATCACAAACAAACCTTGGACCTCCGCTCATCGTTGGACAACTTTTTGCCGTGCAAGCATCCGCAATAGTACCGTAGAGAAGATTGATGCGATTGAAGAAATCGACGGCTGAAAAGTTTTTCATGGACACTAAAAATGCACTCGAATGTTTCCAGTTAAATGAATAGTGAAGTTTCAGATGCAGTTCGTGATAAAGATAACTTGAAAACGTACTGTGTACCGCCAACCAATCATCAAAATTTTCATTGATTGGTAAGCGTACTGCTGCTCTTAAGTCAACTCCAGAATGTAGAGTAGCTTGCGCTTGTTTATGCAGGTTATAACGGAGAGTACCAACCGGGAAACGTTTCTTTGGTCGGAATGTCTAAAAGAGAATAAGGGCCCGTTTCTGGAACGAATAGTCTGAATCATACTTCAAAGAACAGAAACTGATTTGAGTGTTTGTCGTACTAGTTTTGCTTTTTTTTGCTTGCAATCCAGCAACAGTACAACATGATGCACTACTCAGTTCGAAACATTCTTTAAATGCTTTGGAAATTTGATTTGATAACTCTGATAATAATGTAAGAAAAAACGATAACGATAAATATATGAAAGCATTCAAGGAGTCGATAGACTGACGATTAAAGTACATACTGACCTTGTGTTTATTCCTCTGAAGGAACTCTAAAAAGGTGGCCATTCTGGGTGTGAATAGATATGTTTCTTAACTGACTGTTACACTAAAACAAGCAGATTGTAATTGAAATTTACATTCGAAAACATCGATTATGAATAAGTTGATATGCAAAATTCATAAATGTAATTATGAAGTCTACGTTACTAAAATTAATTTATTTACGAGATAAATACTTAAGCATTTGCAATAAAATAGAGCGGTTGAAATTATTAGTAATCGGTGACAGGAAACTAACACATAACGGGATATATGTCGTCAAAGAAATCTCGACATGATTGAAATTTCGGCTGCCTTGCGGTTTAAAGGGGAATGCACCACAGCATGCGAATCGTACGAACAATATAGCTGTGTGGTTCGTTGAAACGATACAAATCTAACGATGAATGCATAAAAACAATCGCTATTTGAGATCGCACAAAACACTTTTGCATTCACTCCAGGTCCCAAATAATGACTGACTTTCGATCTGTGCAGAAATATTGTTTAAGTGATCAAATGACGGCGTTCAGATCTTCACACAACAGGCTTGATTTGAGCACGGCTTCTTTTGTTTCTTCCGTCAACCCAAAGTCTAACGAATGTCACAAATAGAAAACCACGGAAAACAAGAAAAATGGCGCAGTGGAAAGAAATTTATGTGGAAAATGTTTTGATAAGGGACATTTCGCAAGACATTTAAAGTGCAAGAGAACATTTAAATGCTTTTATTGTAATAGCGCATTTTGCAAGAACAGAATTGATTGCATTCAGGCACAGCACTCATGAAATTCAGTCAGTAATAATCACTGAACCAAATTCTTCCGAAGAAATTACGGCTAGTGCGGTAATTGCACCAAATCACACAAATACAATATTGCTTCTGGGCAAATCATCCGCTATTGTAAATCTGATAGAATCAGGAAAAAAATGTTCGTCGACGTCGATTGTCAAACATCGTTCATTAGTGAAAAACTGATTTGCACCACGATGTAAATGAAATGTGAGCTTTGGGCAATAAACAACGAACAGAAATAAAAGAGCATGGCGTACTGCTTAATAATGGTCAGCTTATGAAAATTCAATTTAACGCCATTCTGTTTCTGATGCGAACGATATCATTGTCAAAATAAATCGTTTATGATTCAATTCACTCTACTTCGGACTTACATCAGATAGATGCCAACATTGCTGCTGATTACTTTTACGAATTCGTAGGTCGATCACCTACACATCGTTAACCTGTCAGTTTGTTGCTCTTTCACTCTAGTATCGGACCAATGTTAGCCGATGTAGGGAAACCACTCTCAACCCAATAGGAAAATCACGCTCAACATGAAATACAATCTGGAGATATTATTGCTTATTCTATGCTCATAGAGGTGAATAACAATCCGTCAGTGGAGAAGTCAGCATCTGATACTGAGATGAAAATTGATCAACTCAATGTGTCGGAACTTCGTTCGCGTACCGTTCACAAAACTCGTCTTCAGCTCAAGAATACTGTCGAAAAAACTGATGGTTCCATTGTGCTCTTGGTGTGACATTAAACTGGCGTCGGAAAAGAAATTAATTTGATTGCAAAAGTTAATCCTGCAAAAATCCATAGCCACATAGAAACTGTGTCATGAATCAAGGTGAAAAGAAAAAGTTGTTTCAAGAAAAGTTGGCAGACTGGGTGAACAGATTCAATTGTAGCGAGAGGACTGCGCATAGTTGCTCAGGAGCATTGGTTTTCAGTAAATGAGCAATGCGATTAGATCTCGTTGAGTAATCTGAACAGCAACATACAACTGATTCAGACTGAAATGAAGTAAACTCAGTTTCAATGGGCCATCGATATTCAGAAATGAATGAAAATTGATTTAAAGAACAAAATACAATTGAAAAAATAAACTAACTGGACAAAGAGAGAATCAGCATTCCTGAAGAGTTGGAACCTAAGTAATTTCTCAGGAGATAATGAATTCAATAAGTAATGATTGAAGTTTCGGGTTGAAAAGAAGCTTTGAGGGGCTTGAGTTTAGTGAAGAGGCATCACGATTTGGCAGATAGCTAAATGAATTGTTAGCTACTCACATCAGGCACTATAAGGTATCTAAGATTCTCCATTTAAAATGAGTTTCTCCATTTGTGAAAATTTTAAAGTCCTGTTTGATATAAGTGCTCTGTTTTTTGATATTATCATTCGTTCACTTTATTGCATTATGATATTAATATGATAATGGTGATTTAGGTTTTTTTAAAATTTTGTACTAAGCTCTTATCTGTATTTATACTCACAATGTTGCCGTTGTTTTTTTGATTGCTTTGGAACTGACAATTCGCCTAGTTGTAGTGTGTTCGGTAGGATCGATCAGGCTCTATTTTCATTGCTCAATAATCAAGTTCCTGATTTGTGACATTTCCCTCATCCCTTTCCTGGCCATATATTCCATTCCCAATTTCCAAACTGCATTGATTTCTGAAGAATGTTGGTGGCAGCTTTGGAAATGATGCGGGCAGCAGCGTTGATTGCAGTGACAGAGTATGACATTTCCGCGTTTCTCGACACCTTCCTCATGTTGCTTCGTTCCTTGAATATTATTGCAATTGTAGTAGATGTGTGCATTGAAATTTTGATTAGTTGATCTTGTTCATCAATATTTCATCATTGCTTGCGTTAAAGGCCTCTGGGCCTTCAAGTTCATCTTCAGTTATTCATTCATATGAACAGCCATCATTCAGTTTTTAAACTTGTAGCATTAATTCGAGTCAAACATTTGAACGCCATCTATTTACAGTGTGTCTTTTCAGCCGTTTATATAAGAATCATACAGAATCATATATAAGAATCACTAAATGTCCATTTGCTAAATCATTAATTTATACATGGGATTCATCGAATTCGCTTCTGTAGCATGCGTTTTGTGATATCGTTCTGCGGATTATTAGGATATCAGTTAATTACATACGCTCTACATTTCATAACTTGATAACGTCAATTGTGCAGTTATAATCGCAGTTGTTGTGTATTGTCTCGTTCATCCACTCGTGCACATGGTCATTTGAATTTTTGAAATGCGTTTTTTGATAACCTTTTTGCGTGAGCGGACATTTTACTTAAAGATGTTTTTTCTAAAGACAATGTAGCTGATGCGATCGTTACATGGTCTCAGAGAACGAGCGTTTTTATGTACACTTGGTATGCAATCCTTCATCCTGTGGCCAATTGTCGTTCTGTTCGGCAACCTGTAAGGTACACCAACCTGGGTTTTAGCTATAATTACCTGAGCAGGGTACTGTCCGTACACCAGCCAACTCGTGTGATGGAGTTTACATTTGAAAGTAATTATGTGTTCCATTCAAGCAAAGAAGGTAAAAGCTTGAACGGGTGTTGTTTACGGATTACCATTCTAAATGCGTGTAACGATCACGCCTCACTATTACTTATGTGTGTATCTGCTGTTGCTCCTCAGTTTTCGTTACGTGTTATTGATTCCTGACGTTTAAAGTTTTAGCGTGAATTTTAACCGTGTTAATATGGTACTTTTGCTGATAACGGGCGCCACCGCGCCGTCACAGATGCTCGCGTGCTCATACGCTTCACACATATGTTGAAGCCTGTGCATTAGCCTCATCACTGGGCTAAGCGTAAGTCTAAGCTCAAACACACTCCTGATTTGACTTCGAATTGCATAGATAGACATGGGGCAAAGTGGTAATCTAAGCACATGCGCGCAGTGGCGGCCGTTATCAGCAAAAATGCCATTGGCATTTTCGTGGGTGAAGTTGTCTTTTAATAGCCGTTTGCGTTTAGTTTTTTATTAATATCAGAGGATAACGAATTTTCAGATTGATTGAGCCCCGCAAATTTTGTTCCAGCTGTCATTCACCAGTGAACTGATAATGTTCCGGAGGCAATGTTCATCAGCTCTCGTAAGTTTAAAATGCATTAATCAGACAATCTGTTCCAATGTCGTGTGTATGACCTCACCATGAACGCAGTCATTCTTCTGCCATTACTAACGTAAAATTGGGGATATGCAAATGTCAATTTTATCAAATAACTCGAGGAACTCGGTGGAATTGCTGGTCATCGTTTCATTTTCTTTTATTGATTCCTAAATTTTGATTAATGTCATGTGAGCCGAATCGAAACAGTCAAAGAGAATAAGATATGGCTTGCGTGATGAAAACTACTCATTAATTTGCACTTAAACGCATTTTAGAAACGTTTCATGTCAGCCACGGCCACTGCTCAGAAGGCAAGTATGGTTGCTGAGGAAAAGGTTGATTTTTGAACAAGTTGTTCGATTTTTATATCATGTATATTATGATGATCCTTTATCATGACATTTCTGTGACATCAACACAAGGATATTTCTATTACCTCACTATCAGTGTTTTTTCGTTTTGTTACGATAATCAGACGTATTCAAACTATACACCTAGATTCGTAAAATTTTTCGATGTGGTATGAAGTTGGAGTGAAGTAAGCATTTTATGAATGTGAAAATGAAAATTGAAGTTATCGCGTCTACCGAATGGCTTGTCAGTTGGTTCGTTGGACATGAATGGTGCCGTCTCTCAACTGCTAATCGCATTCCGTGCAGGTACTCGCTATGAACAACAACCGAACGAAGCCGGTCTTGTGCATCATCTGCGTAATGCAGTTGGTATCGATTCGAACAATTATCTCGGCGCTGAAATGTTGTGGCATTGCGGCAGTTTCGGTGCAAATCTTATGTCAACTTCATCGCGTGATTTGTTCATGGTGCAAATGAGTGTTCTTCGTGACCATGCATCCGTGGCACTATCGCTGTTGGGTGAGCTGGCACAACCGGCATTCAAACCGTGGGATTTGGAAGAAGTTTATGGAACACTTCACGCCGATCGTCAATATTTACAGCCATATGATATACTCCTTGAAAAACTTCATTCTGTACGCAACAGTTGTTATTTATGAAATGGAGAGATTTGCATTCTAACTGATTTTATAGTTCATGACTTCTGTTATCGTCATCATTTGGAAGCATCATTCTTCTTCGGATTTCAACTTATCTTCTCTTTTTGTAACACTTATCAAATTGTACTATTAAAGAATGTGATTAAGTTTTCATTGAATAGACAAAGTCAGGATTAGGATTTAATGATCGGAATAAAAAGAGCCATTGGTGAGGTTTACATGATGTCAGGCCGAATCAGCAATCTAATTATCAGTTCTTTTTGAATTCCAGGCTGCTTTTCGTAATGGTCCTCTCGGCAATGAGTTGTATGCCAAGAAGTCAAAAATAGGCAAGATTACTTCCAAGCAGCTGCTCAATTTTGCGGTTTGTTTTGTTTAAGTATTTGATTTTTATCCGGAAGCAATGAATTGGAACAGAAGTAAGTTCGCTTCAAAATGAGTAATATTGAGCTGTTTTACTTCTTTGTAACAACAACTAGTTGAGTTCACTGTACACTCGAAGTTTCGAGTTGTGATTTGTGTTGTTAGTGAGTAGAAGGGTTTGTAACGCTGTTGACGTTGCGTTATCTCATTATTTGTGTCATTGAAAAGTGATGCATTCATTCAGTCATCACGATTGGTTAGTGGTAATGCAGTATTGGTTGGAGTAAATGTGACACATCAGCAAATACTGGATTACGCATCAACTCAGTTGAATATTACTGAAAATAACGCCAACCCAATTGTACCATCCAAGTATCGTGGCGGTGAGGTACGTCATAATTCAACCATGCAATTAGCACACGTGGCTATCGTTGGTGAAGGAGCATCGTTACAAGATCATAAGGTTATTATTGTTTTATTGATGTTTCATTGAATTATAATAACAATTCTGATCCTATTGTCGACTGTTCAAACTCATCACAGTTATTGTTTAAATTATCCCTTAACTGCTAAGCTAGCTGATAAGATTACTATACATCAGGGTATGGCCACACAAGCGGTTCTGAGTGCAGCGTTGGCGAATGGACCTTCAACGAAGTATTCATCTGGACTTGGCCATGGTGTCGTTGCAGATGCAGTTTATGTTCGTTTATGATGAATACTTTTATGAACTTTAAATTTACAAGATGAAGTAGAATGATTGATTAAATGAATTTGCACATTTGATCGATTGCGAATAGTTTATAGCATTTTTTCGACTTGCAGAAAGCATCTGGTGGAAACATGGCGGCAGTATTACCAATCAACGAGGTGCATTCAGATGCAGCGCTTGTTGGTGTGTACTTGGTCTCGAGTGGGGATAACATTGCACCTTTGGTGACAACCGCATTTAATGCACTGAAGTCGTTTCAAATCAGCGAAAATACATTGAAAGCTGCAAAGTCTGTTCCCTCCATACAATACTTCATTTTGTAGTATTTACGGTTTAACAGTCGCCTTATTACCAACATAAAAACGAGCGACGACAAAGACTGTTGAATGTAGTGTACTGATGTCATTGGAACGAAGATAATTGATCGTTTCAGAACGCATCATCTTGATGATTTCTTATTGACTCGCATTCAGTCAAGCTCTGCATGGTTGGATGTACATGCAGTGGTTTATTGTGACGATGTTCTATTGCTGTGAACAATTGTTTTTGGAAAATATGAGCAGTGTTACTGTAATTGCAGATTATGTGCCGAAATGGATGCGTTAACTGCATGCGAATCATCTTCAACGGTTGCTGTTGATCGTGCAGCACAAATTTTGGCTTGCGGACATACAATGTCGGCCAGTGATTTTATTGGATCAATTAGAAATGTAACACTGGACGATGTTAATAAGGTTATTATGCTATCAGTTTTTATTTGTTAACTAAATCAATCAACATTTCATTCTTCTCTCGTTTCCTTCTTTTATTCAAACACGAAAGACAGTATTCGTGTTTTGTTTTGTCCAAAGGAAATGCCTATGTTTCGTTGCAGCTTCATAGTTTATGAACTACGTAATATGCATTCATTGCAACATTAGTTGTCTTTTCCTTCAAAAACCTTTCATCACATTGACTCTTTGAGAAATTTTAATGGTTCACTGTTCGTTGACGTTGTCTCGTTTTATTTTCTTGAATAATTCATTCCTCAATTATTCAGTCCTCTTTGCTGCACGTTGATGAGTGTTTACCCCGTCGCTAAAAATAAGTTAGTATGACACTTCTAGATTAATGCATGACAAGTGATTCGTAAAATTCATATTGATTGTTTCGTTGTGAATATTATGTCCGATAATACAACTCGCTTCTCTTTTTTATTTGACCGTCATTTGAAGTTACGTTTTCAGGCAGCCCAAAAGTTAGCAAGAAAGGTTACGATGGCTTCCCACGGGAATATTTCTCAAGTGCCATATTTGGATGAACTTTAATAAGATCTTCTCGAAAACAGTTTGGCATTCGAAGGGCATCAACCATATGATCGACTCGCTTGAAGCATCATTTCGGTTTTATCGGCTCGTGAACAGCAATGTTCAGAATTCATATAATCGATAACCTCATGTATTAATAACCTGTGCATACTACGTACATTTGGAACTTGAAATAGTTTTCTAGATGCTTGATGATAATTCATAAAGTAATCACCTCAACGAATCTCTTTTTCAGTTTGATGAATGTGCCCGTTTTTATTATTCTTTCGAGTTTTCTAATTATAATTTGCACTGTTTTACGTCTGTACGTTGTGATAAGTTTATCAGTGCGCAAAACCGAACTAGCATTCAGAGAATGGAATGTGATGAATAAAGAAGGAATGATCTTATTTTGAGTTGATGAATTTTTCACGAATGTACAATTAAAATGAATCTTATATCGATTATTCGAAACACCCTTATAATCTGCGATTGTATTCATTATTTTCCTCATTTACTTATATCTCGTGTTTGAATTATACTCTACGATTCATTAATGCCGATATTGGTGTGACAAGGTTGTAGTTGTATACACTGTAAGTGAATTGCTATATTAGATATATTTATATAGAATAAACATTCAAAGAAGTCAATTGATCAGAATAAAGTTGAACTTGCATAGTGAGATTGGTTGGACCGAGTTGGAGCGCACGTAAATTAATTGAAACCGATAAAATCACCATAAATTTCAAAAAACCAGAAGAACTTTTTAAAGGTTGTATTAAATTGACAGTGGGATGAGGATTTGCTAGAAAAGAATAAGTGTATAAAGGTAATAAGACGACAGATTTATAAATGACCAACAAGAGCACCTGCAGCGATTATGAGTGAATAAGTGGGAAGCTTGAGAATGTTTGTTTCCCCACAAAACAGTGAGATAATAAGCAGCAAATTTTCGGAGTATCTTGGAGTGAAGCAATTGAACAATTCAATAAGAAGTATAAAGTGAATCGAATGTTTTGAAAGCGCATTTGTACTTAGTAGCACTTTATTTTAATGACTATAATAGATTGATTGAATTTGATGCTACTCGTCAACTTAGTCACAGTTGTATAAATAATTTTGCAAACTTGTTAATGCACACATGTTCTGATCAGCAATTTCACCTATGTCGATCGATTACAACATATTTGATCGAGAAGATAATCTCGGAGTTATAAACTGAGAATAAGAACTTTCACGTCTATTTCAAGCAAATTTCGGAAAAAAACTACGTCTGTTTTAGAAGAATTCATTCGGAGAGAGAGGTGATATGACTAGAGGGTTACTAACTGAAAAATTTATCACCTTCAGAGAGTGCGTGAGCGAATTTCATTCATGAAGTTTCTTAGGTATGTTATTTCGTTCTGTAACTCAGTTACACGATTTTTGAGTTTAGTATTATGAATCTCTAATTCAAGCATTTCGCGCTTTGTTAATTCATGCTCTTCTCGTTTTCGTTTACGGTACCTTATTGCAGCGGCTCTATTCAGCGCCTTCCTCTTCTTCACATTAGACTCGTCTTCAGACCGTAATGAGATTCTTGACTGTTCTGATGAATCGTCCTGAAAGTTAACATTTAATATTACTGCTATTATAACCACAATCAAATATCATAAACCAATCTATACAAAAATGCAAACCAAACGAGTAAATGAGTACAATCGAAGAATAACTGCAGATATGAGTGAATAAATAGATACCGTAAACGATGACGATGATGAAATACAAGCAGATGACATTGACGATAAGCATGAAAAACGTTCAATTTCCTCACATTCGCGAACAATTTCTTCGAAAATCTGTTTTGGTGAATCATCTCCAATAAACATGTGTCGATGTTGATCGAAACCAATATTTTCGCCATATTCTTGATAACTGCTTGAATTATATGTATTACACGCTGAATTTATATTTTGCTGTATTATTGAATCGTTTATATGAACTGAACTATGATCGTTTGATTGAACTCCATAATCGCTGTAGATGCTGTCGTCGTTCTCAACAAACACAACACGCTGAGGCCTAGAAGAAGCATTTCTTGAGAAATACGTTCGGTTTACATTTTGTTCATATCAAATTTGACTTGATCGAAAAATTCGAATGTATATTCTGAAAACAACTCGATCAGAACGACTTGGATAATGATTTCAAGTTATAATATATTATCTATGCGCATAACAGAGCGCTTCTTAGATGCAATCGGATTAGGTTTGCCTCAACAACGATAGATTCTTCACTACACACTACTCTACTGATTTTCATTCCAGACCAAGCAGCACCTAAATTTTCACCAACAAAGTACAACAGAATCCGTAGCAACGAACAACTAAAACTTTATTGATAGCTAAAATTAATCTGTGGGCACGCAAGAAATGTTGTTAATGTGGATCTTGAGGCATATTAGAATGGTTCAAATGACATCGAAAGCTCTTGGAGGATTCACTGGTTTCAGATGAGAGCTAGGTAATGTTTTAACCGTTTGATAAGGAGTGGTTACAGAGTAGAATGCTTGATCTAGGCCGATCGTCTGAACTGATCCAAAGTGATTTGACATGCTCATCATGTTCGGATAATTCGATTGTAATCCAACTATATTGTCCATTGCTGCGTTGCAATCAATCGCGATGGTAATCTGTACAAATCACAAATTATTGTTCAAAATTGACATAAATTATTAAGAGAATGAGCAAAATTTCGAATACTCATTACAAGATTAGCATGGATGGTTCAAAATATCCCGATATTGTTTCTACCTCACATGTGTGAATCATGAAAAAACGATGATAGCTCATCATTTACAGCCGTTTTTCCTACACAACACAGCCATTTGTTTGTTTTCCACTCACACTGATTGCACATGATGTATCTTATATTGATTGACTATGACATCGCATAACGTATTCCTCCAATCTAACGACTAGATCTGATGGGTGAGCAGAACAAGATCAATCATGTACGGCAATAAATTAATGAGTTTTGAAGGGAAATAAATTGAATTGATTTCATTAGAGCAGCATTATTTTTGTACACAGAATGTAAATAATTATTTCAACTAAATTCATGGAAAGCTATTATTTTTACTGTAGATCCCATACGACTGCGTATATGCCCGTCTTATGTCCTGTCCTACTTTCTAATCAGTTTACTAAATCATTTATCAAATTAAGTTTATGATGTTAGACGGCAAATCAGCGTGGATTTTTCGCCCTTAAATCCGAGTTGTATTAATATCTCAATTTTATAGATACAAAGGATTATTTTTCTGCCTCACATTTCTGCCAAATCCATTAATAAGACTGTTTAATGCAAAATTTGCCTCCAACAATATTTTTTGCCAATTTTCAACCCCACTCTATTCATGGTCTTCCTATTCAATGTGAGGAATATCACATATTACACGTATTACCAACAATGTAGGTAACGCGCAACTTGGCAACCAATGAGGGTGAGGGGTTGAGTTGAGGCTCGCACTTTTTTGTATTATGGATATTCAGTAATCGGATTACCGTAATCTCGCAGTTTACGTCAAGAAGGAAAGGGGAGTGGCGTAACACACAACTAAAAAGCATTGGCCATCGCATGCATGAAGACAGTGTGCCACAATTCTCTCCACACGTTAACAACTGCTTTCTCGAACAAGGAGAAAAGATCCACGCTCAGCCCGAAAAAAAAGAACCATTTCTCTTTTCCATTATGAGACACACTGTTAGATCCGTTGAGGTGGAGAACGACATGACATAAACTAACATTCGAAATGAATTCGAAAATACAATTCGAAAATAAAAAAATAGAAAAAAAAATACATCGACAAAAAAAATTCAAAAATTCAAAAATTCGAAAATACATCGACAATTCGAAATGAATACTCAGCCTAATATTATTTCATCTAATAAATGCACACGTTCGGCAATATTTTTCTCCAGGTTAGTGATATTACAAGGTGGTAATCGTGGTTAACGTGTTTAATAAAAGTGTTCGGCTTATTCACCAGCCTCAAGCAAAGTCCGAGCCCTGCACTCCACTATGGCTCACCACGGGCCCAAACCTCAGATTTACTGTGGTATTCATCCCATCAAACAATGAACTTGAATCTACAGGAATGAAGCTCATCCAAAGTTCGGGCGGTTTCTTGCAGCACGCACCAAAACAATAATAAATATTCTCCAAATATATCATCTCCTAACACAACGGTGAACATGCGTACGCATCACTCGAACCGAAACGAAGTTCTCTGACCAATTATACGTTTCAAAATGACGTAGCACAGATTCGTCGTGGACGGATTTGTCGGTCGCCCGTTTTGTGTGTGTTAAACTACGCCCCCTTTCTCGTTAACCTAAACTGTAGCATTTCCGGAAATCACCTCACTAATGCTCTTCAGATCGTCTGCTTATTAACTGTCATTGGTGATTTTTCTAAGGATTACAAAAAACGAGAACATCTAGATTTCATAATTTATTCGACGTTCGCATGAATTCATCATCATGAAATCTCCTCAGAAACATTGTTGGCAGAATTAAATTATGCCTTCTAGATATCTTCGTTTTATTGTCTTCAAACAACAAGAACTTAAAGCTAAACCAGTGTTCCAAATTAGGATTATGTGAGAGTTACGGATTGAGAGCAATGCTGAGTTTTGATGTTTGTTTTGGCGTCAACGTTCTCAGATGTTGCTTTCAGATGTGATCACTGTACAACTGGGGGTTGTTTCCAAAAAATTTTGCGTGGTCATAGATAAATCTCGATTTGGGACCTAGAATTGGCGACAGAGTTGATTGAATTAACGAAACGAATGAAGACAGAATGAGACTGAATTAATGTAAAGTAGTGTAATGAACAGAAGCCAAAACTCATTGCTGCGTTGAAGTCATAGTTTGAGTATTTGATTCAACAGAATCGCAGTAGTAATTTGGATGGTCAGGGCAATTCGAATTGTTTTAGATGTATTGGTTCGAAATAGTGAAAATTAAGGTCTCTAAAAGTCGGAACAGGGCGAAGAAATTCTGATAACAGATTTGAAATGATTCGATAAGATTCGATATTTTATTCGCTGATGTCAACGAAAGTTCGGTTTTGTTGTGACAGTAAACCGAGAATCCAATTAAAGGTAAAAAATGCGGCGGTTAGCGATTGCATCAAATTTGTTATACCGTTGTCATCGCCAGGCACTGTATTCGCCTTCATCAAGTACCGCTTTGTACCGTTCAATATCACCTGGTTATCGGAAGATAAACGCGCTGTCTGCGAACGACGGTGAGGTATGATTAACACAAGTCTTTATTCATCTCTACAGTGAAAGGTTTTGGTTCGCTTCTTCTCTCGACTATAATTGCATGATTTATGCCCACGCTTTCAAGCGTGCATAAACGTTAGAGAGGGCTCATGACGGAATGTTAATTATTTCTTACCGTTACTTGTCTCTGGTTAGAACTAATGTAGTACTCGGGTCATTCTCATACGTTAAAGGAAAGGTACTTTTTGAATTTCATTGCTTAGAATAGTGCTTCCTACTCGCTTTGAAAGTTATTTTCGCGAAAGTGCATTCAAGGCCTCAACAATGGTGGTTGGTTTTATCAGTATGGAATTCAGGACTAGGAGTGCTTATGAGTGGGTCCCGTCAGAAGGTTTTCAATGAGAATGTGATGAATCAAGGTCAAGTTCCAACAGCCGTTATATTCTCAAAATTACTGAAGAGTGGTACGAGATAGTCCCCTGAAGCATTCGTTCCGAAATTATCGCAGGAAACGACTGTTACTCCAATTAGGCGTTCTGTTCTGCTTCTTGATCGTTGTTTTGGACTCTAGGAACTGCATATCATTGAAATTGCTAATTTTGCCTACTTTCCAAGATTGAGTCACAGCTAAGTCCAAACTTCTGGAACTGATTGCGGTCATAAACTGAAGTTTTAGTATATTTATTTGCTTTTTGTTGCCATGCTTTGCTGCTTACTAATAGAAATGAGCTGGGAAATAACGAAATGATTTGATTGAATCGAATTTTCTTGATTTCAGATCCTTTCGTTTTAGGTTGAGCCTATGCTCGTAACTAGTCAATCATGAACATAAGTTGAAGAGCCCTGTAACATTATACGTTCAGTTACACGTCATTGATGGTAGTTCGCTGAAACTTGCTTCAGTGGTAGAATGAACGGTAGTATCTGTCAGACAAAATGGCTCTATTTTTCTCCATAAAACTCTAGCAGTTACAATTGATACCTTAGACTACATTGGATAAATAACATTGGATGGTAAGTTTATTGTATTTGCAGTCATACAGCAGAACAGACGCTCAACGATGGTCCACTCAATTTCTGCGTCATTACAGTTCATCGTCAGCTGATAGGAAGAGTTTTCTGGCGAGTCTTATTGAGAACGTGAAGGAAGAGTTTGAAAAGAACAAAGAACTGCAGGTGAGAATTTCAATCAGTCATTTATGAAAGCCAGTCTCGTGAAGAAATTCCTCCACAGGTTGATAGCAAAAACACGGAGTGGTATTTTGAATTGTTATTTAGCAGTTTATTGCGAAACTATCTGTCCATTTCACAACACTCGTTATCAAATCAAATTGCTTTCCATGCTCCAAGTTCAGTCATGTTGATTGTGAAATTTTTGCATATTCCATCTTTGGAGCTAATTGTATTCACGAAAGGCTACTGAATTACTTTATGTCACAGTGTTACTCTTGTTCAATGGCAGAGCTCCTCAAGAATAATTTTTCCCGCAAACTTTTGCACTTGGGTTGTGTAGGTTGTGCACATTCCTGATTATTTCTTATGATGGTTTATTTGCTTGTTGAAACTTTGCAAACTGTTGAATTGGAAGACTTCAGCAGACTTATTTAGAAGACTTAGTTCTATGTTATTTCTCTTTTCAAAAACTTTTCTCATCAACTGCATTCTTTTGGTTCACTTAATTTTAAGTGGTTAATGGAAATTGCTGTTTGAGAGCACATGATCAGTTAAAGATCTTCGTTTACGCGTAATGAAATTGTTCACGTTAAATTTTCTTCTGTTGTTCGTCGAGTTCGTTATATTTACTGGAAGAATGAAGTCATAATAAAGAATTTTTACAGGAGAACAAAAAGCAGTTGGATCAGAGACTCAGAGAGCTTAATGACAGTGAAGCACTTAAGGATGCTCGAAAAAAATTCGTCAGTCGTCTCTTTGTTAAATTTATTTATTTATTTTTTAATTAATTTTTATTCTAAACTTTTCAAAGTATTTGAAAATTAGTTGACCCTAACAACGGGTATTCTATTAAATCATATTTTTTATTTATCGAATATATTGTTCAGTGACAATCGTGCTTTTATTTTTGGGGACCAAATTTCCTCATTACTATTTGTTTGTTTGTTTATTGACTCACTCACTCTCGATTATGATTCTTTTAAAAAGTCAGTTTAGGAGCTGGTAGAGCAGGAAACAATGAGAAGTTCAGAGGTGATCCAAAAAAAGCTAAGTGAAATCAAGGATCATATGTCTCAGGTATTTTCTTTACTCCATCTTATGACACTATGATCTGCTGTTTTGCACTCTTTGCAGCTGTACGCAATTTATTTTCAGATGATAGCTGAAATACAGAAAACAGAAGCTGGTAAAAAGCTTTCAGAAGCTGCGGAAGAGGCTTTGAAACAGGCTCGTCTAGCTGCTGAATCTCTTGAAAAAGCAGCTGAGCAGATTGGTGATACACAAATATATCAGAACGTTAGTCAAGTAAGTTTATCCACTTATTTTTATTACATTGCTTTCGTATTTTTCCGCTCACACAGTTTAGATTCTGTATTTCTGTCATTTTCGAATATTTGTGTTTTAGTCCATTTCGATTGTTTTTCGAGTGAGCTTCTATGCTTTATTCGCTTTTGATGTGCATTGGTTAGTACTCAGTGACTCATTGCAGACTGTGAAAGTGGTCAAAGAAGAAATTGATGACATCACTGATGTTACAATGTACTCTAGGCCAGGTGATTTGCATTTCAGCTCTCATTTTTAAGTGTCAGTTTCTTCTAGTTTTTCGATGTTATAATGAAAAAGCATTGCATATTTGCATAATTATTGCATATTTTCTTTCCTGAAACCAAATGAAATGTTTAATGTCTATATCTGATGACATTCGTCTACGGTCAGTCCGCTGTTTTTCAAAATTGTTTTGTTCCACTGCAGCAAAGTTGTTGAATATTCATAAGTTGTTGGAATTTAATATGATCTTAGCTTTAAATTTTCAGTTTATTTGCTTTTGATATGATCTACGAGAAACTTTCAGTCGTTATCGACGTTTTCTTATTTTTAGAACAGCTCAAAATGCGTTCGGTAGCCTATTCAACTAGCGCCTATGCGGAGCGTGTGATGGAACCCAATCCGTGAGTTTTTTTTTTCGAGTTAGATTCAGACCAGATCTTAATCATTTGATTCGAAGTGGTTGTTGTGATGTGGAAAAATTAGGTTCTTTAGTATGAGGTGCTGATGTTCATATGAAGTGCTTAATTTTTGCTGTAGTTTCGGATGGTAAATTGAAGATGTTGTGCATTGAATAACTCGAGTAATTGGTTTTGTTAAGTGATGCAACTGGCGTGCAATTACACAAGGAATCAAGATGGTATGCAGGATGGAAAGAGTTCTCCGAGAAGAATGTTTACTTCAATAGTAAGCTTATTCAAGAATTGATCTTTTTATTTCGTTTCTTGACTTTTCTGGTTGTAACCGTCGTTTACTCGACGAATGGGATGTTTTGGTGTCAATAATTCCGACGCTGGAATAGCCCCCATGGATGCCCATTAATAGGCACCTATATTTTGGTTGAGGCATGGAGAGTCTGATTTGCAACATTCAGATTGTGTGTATCCGATCTATGAAAACGGTGATATCAAAACGGCCTATACTTAATTTTCAAGCAATCTGCTCTCATAACGATCCGTAGAGCAATTTTTACAATTGACATGATGATGATTAGTAAGTATTCCAAATAAATGTGTGAATATATCTTCACAAACTTTTCCCATTCAAGGCTCACTTATGCGCTCTCTAGTAGCGTATGAGTGCAATATTTTCCTTCTGATACCTCGCTCACAACAAAGGCGATATTGTTTCGTAATCATTAGGTGAGTTATCATTCCAGTTGAGTGTTGCAGAAATATTGGATTGGAAAATTCGATACGATGAAAGTGAGAACGTCGCTGTCAGAGTGCTGCGTAGCGTCACCGATCGTATTACTTCCGTTTTCAGTAAATTTGCCCTTATTTATGATGTTTTTTTTTTGAAATAAGCAAGAAAATTTATTAGTATCTGTTAAAACAAACTGAAACTCGATGTAGTTAAAGTGTGAAAGGATCACATGCAATTGGCCAAAGGGAATGGAAAAATTGAAGTTTGCAAAAGTGCATTATTGATAGACAACGTTCAGATATGTTATCACTTACTCGAAGTAAACTATTTGAAATGAAGCAAATGACTGGCAAATTTTGAAAGTAGTGCGGTAATAACTTTGTAGCGACCAAGAGCGAAGTAGCCGAAGTGTTGACTGAGATAGCCAAAATTGATCCAACGTTCGATAAAATGGAATGGTTGCGATTTTGTGAACGGGAAGTTATTCCCAACGTACTTGAAGCTTTCATTCGTGGAGATCTGAAAATTTTGAAAGATTGGTGTCACGAAAGGGTGTGTTTGTTGAATTGTTTGTGTACCGCTATTTATGTTTTTGCTTTATAAATTGTCGTTTCATCACTTGTAGGTTCTGAAATTTTTGTGATTCTTGAATATAAATGCAGTAATAAGATGAAATTCATTCACTTAAGGCATATAACGCTCTGGCTGCAGTTGTAAAAGAGTACAAGAAGATCAACTTTAGCACGAAAGATTCACGTATTATCGACGTGAGCAAAGTTGAGGTTCGTCATTGTTTGCAATGCTAGTGATTGTAATTTGAAGCACAAGAGGATTGAAGTTATGTTGATTCAACAGCTCGTGTTATGGTTGTTTCAGTTTTGATACTCTAAGCTAGATATAGTAATTATTTCTATAACTAAATTTTGACAGATGGTATCGGGAAAAATGATGGAACAAGGTCCTGTTCTGATCATAACCTTTCAAGTGTTTATGATCAATGTGGTGAAAAATCTTGATGGAAAAGTTGTACAGGGTGATGAGGTTGGTTATCGATATTCATATGCAAAAGATGCGTCTATGATAGCAATGTTCATTTATGAAATTGTTGGATTTCCTGTAGAATACATTAGATAGTCGATGAGCACATCAAAAATCTAGTTTCATGAATGAGAGGAAGTAATATTTTATTCCATTCTCGGTCTACTTCAGCTGCAGTATAATTTGAATCGTCCACATTAACACTCTCTTTTCAAGATGAAAACAGTGCCAAAGTTGTACTGAAAATCGCAAGGACGAAAAGGGAGTCCATCTTTAATTTAAAAAAAGATTTTTTAGAATACTCCCGTCCGTGTACATCATGTTTGGGTTATGTGTCGTGATATGGAAGAATACAATCCAGCAGTGGCCTGGAAATTGCTCGAAGTGCATATGCAAGAAGGTGCATTAGCAGTGTAAAAAAATCATCTTCATCTCATCCTTAGCACTGCTTACTTTGCTCAGTCGATCCTTTGTCGCGTTGCTCGAAACGATAATAAATCGATGAGAAACATTTTCATCAACGGTTGTCGATGGTTTTTGATTGTGGAAATTGAATAATGTTTACTGTATTAAAGCATTTCTTATTCGAAGTGATCAAGTCTCCAGTGATAGTTCTCTCGATGTTCTCATTTGTTATTGTACAGATTTCTTCTGAGTCTCGTCATTATCGTAATTGTTCAGCCCGATTATATTTGTCTTTTATCATACTTCATTTCATAATCGCGTACACATTCATGTGCTTTATTATTTTAGAATGCGACTCTGTTGAGAACTGTTTAATTCAACGCGTTCATGCGTAATCATTTCGCTCATACAATTTTTTTGGAATGTAAACTATTCAGCTCATTTTAGACGTGTTGACTGGAAAAAAAATCTCAGTAATGAATAACGTAATGAAGCGTTTTACATGATATAATTGGCGTGATCTCTGCATCGAAAGTATTACCTGAAAATCTGAAAACTTCGTTAATCAAATCTGTACACTTGGTTAATTATGGTGCACGCGTTTTCGTTAATTGAATCGATGGACTGATAAGAATTGCATGGTTTCTCGATTGTGAACTGATCACTCGTGTTGTTGTCGTTAGGGAGAGGAAGGCGTCTTCTCTATTCATGCTTTCTATGCACATTGACAGTGTGAAGTCTCACGATATCGTTGCGCACTTGATATTTCTGGATATATACAGACAGCTTATGAGTTCCATTGATTGATGCGTGTAATTGATTTAACTTTTCTTCAAGACTTCGGTGCTTTTGAATGCTGTGTTAACAATTGATTCAACAATGTTCTTTGAGGTTCATTCGTTCTGTTAACTTCCTCACATACGTCTCAGTAAAAAAGTGATAATTACTACCGCGATTTTTACGGAACGAGAATTTCCGCAGAAAAAAGCACTATATTTGTTTCGGTGAATTATAATTTTCATCCCAAATTACCGAAAAACTCCTTAAATGGCCTTCCTAATTTTCGGATGATTCTCCACATCTTTCATAAGTTTTGAAGCAATTCTCAACTAAAGTCTGTCTGCTTCTGTCTATAGTTCCTCCCAATACCATTCAAATGTGTGTGAGCTGTTTTGACAGGGCTCGAGTGTGACCGTTTATGATTTTCCGGTTGATTCACGTAGATGAAGTTTCATTAAATGTCAACTAATGCTCCTATATTGTGCTTTATAGTTTTGCTTTTCTTTGAATGTGATGTCATTATCAACTGACGTTTTCAATTATTATCACTTTTGCTTGAAACTTTGATGAATGAATGCAGTTGTTGTTACTGTTTTTTGATGAAGTTGAATTTCCATCGGGTAGTTATTTGAAAGCGTCCGCGTTTTGTTGTTATTTTTGTTCCATTGTTTTGCACATTGAGAAATTGTTTTAGAATTATATTTGTGTTGACTGTTCAAGAATTCAGTAAACTCTGTCACTGAAACAAGTGTTCTGTGGAGTGTCGTCGAACTGAAACATTACGTTTTCATTCATTTTGGTTAGAGGTATTATTTGGACATCATGTTTGAAAGCGACGTAGTTGAACAACTTCTTTGAAGCACTCGATTACTTTTCGTTGGTCACCTGTGAGTTTGTTTCTGGAAGCAGTTAGTTCCATCAGATAGGAAGCAGGATAACTTTCAATCAAAATCCGTTTCAAGTCTTTTGTCGTTGTGTTTATCGTCAGTCCGAGCCCGTGTCTTAACCGCGCTCAGCAGCTCGAGATCTTTCTCATTTTCAGTTCCTTTGAGCCGGAATTTGCCAGATGCGAGCATCAACCACATATAATTTCATATTAAAAACTGTTGCTGATGGTGAGGTGATAATATGTCAAGGTTCCGTATTGGAATCGAAAGAGATTTCAGATAAGGAAAAAATTGTCAGACTATGAACTTTTTACTCCATCCAATAAGATGGAGGGGTTGTGAAAGATTAAGATCACTTGTTGACCGTAGTTAATCGATTACTAAAAAATGCGTGTGAGTGATGCTCTCAGGGAGTTTCCGAAAATGACTAATTGAAGATGGCCATGCTGGTATACTTTTCTTATCGAGTGGGAGTGGAGCGAGTGAGCTAGGTGAAGGAATGGCGGAGGCTTATCAGGGATATACGGAGTGTGCATAGGATCCAACGTGTTTACTTCAGATATTTGCAAGTTGCAGATCGAACGAAATCAAATTTCCGTCTGTTATGCTGCAGAAAATCTGCAGCAGTTGATAAATTTCAAAGGTTTTCGAGATCTTCGATGCTTATTGCCTTGTAATGTTCACTTCAAAAATACTTTCGTCTGCAACCACTCAAAATGTTGCATTTAAAGAAAGCCCTGATTGAAATGGCTCTTAACAGATGTTCATATAAAATTAATGAATATTGATGAATACAGACTCGAAAAACTGACATAGGTTTTTGCTACTATGCAGTAGTAAGGATATCAATAAGCTCTCATAAATTCGATATTACCATTGGATAAAATGGAAGAGTAGCCCGAAACCTGTGCGCCCGCTAAATCGCTAATCGAAGTTGGAATTTCATGAAGACAGATGATTCCCAATGCTGTAATTGTTAGCTGCGTGGAAAGGATGTCAACAAAGGAAGAATGTGATATTGGTGATAACAGAGAGGCATGAAATCGTAATGAGTTGGATTTGCTGATTAAATAAATAAATTCAATATTGTTCACGCTCATTTTTAGTGTTACAACGTCATCGGTGTTTTATTTGAGCCGTTCATGTTATCCTAATTATCATCATTTATGTTCCGATCGTTCGTCTAATATAGTTGCACTGAACCGTTCAGTCTATCGATTTCATTGAATCGCTGCCATCATTCACTATTCAGAATGTTTGGGTACTCGTATAAACTGAAACTGATCAAAACAACATTTTAATCGCACTTCTTTAAATGGATTAGCTTAAAGGAATAAACCGGTGATTGTTATAGGATGAAGGCAATTCTCTCCTAGAGGGACTTAAATTATATCAATGGGAGATATCAGGTGGCAATTACGGAGGGTGGCAAATCGTTGTTGACTGGTTTTTTAATAGTTCTTCTGTAGTTACTTGTTAGTGTTTTCAAAACGGTGGCAGAAAACTAATTGATTGGTCAGTGGATGAATTTCTCGATTTTCTTCTAATTGCTAGAAAATAATAAGTTATCAGAGGAGGGATATTGAAGAGAAATGGCGGCTTAGCATACGACTGAAAAAAGGTATAGAACATAACTGGAGTAAATGAACAGAAGCACGTAAGTATTTATGCCAACATGGCCATGTGCGAAACTTGTCAATTTTGAATCGCGATGCATACAGTACGTTGCGATGCGTATGATACTCGTCTAAAGTGGTCAAAGATCTTCAATATCGAATGAATCCGTGTCATAAAAATTCGTAGATACCGTTTCAATGCAGTACTGATGAGCAGTGAAATGCTGAGAGAGGTGAGACTTGTCGAGTTCACAACTGTTATGATGAAACCGTCAGTTGAATGAGCAAAAATCGAACGAGCTCATGCATATTGATCTCTCATAGCATACTATTTAAATGAAATCAGGAAATCGCTTCATCTCAGCTTCTTGAATGCAGAAATATGCATTAAGCTCAAATCACGTCATTGCAATCTTTGCTCAGTGTTAAAACGTTCATGAAACTAACTTCAGATATTTACCGTTTGGATAAATTAGTTCATGCAAAGAGTATCACTCACATTCTTAACATTCCCTTCTCACTTTCATCACTTTTGCCATTCTTGAATACGAATAAAAAATAACGGTGGAAGTGGTTTTGGGTGGAAAGATGCAAAAAACGTTAAGCGATTGATATGTATTTCGTAGTTATCAACTGAAATTCGAAATGATGTATTGAAAAACATTTGTTTTTCGAATAATGTTTTCGAGTAATAATCAATTATGAACTGAGAAGTTCCGTTTGCGATAGTTAATTTCATATATACATTAAGTCGTAGTACATACTCATAGGTGATGTTTAAGTGAACGTTAATTCGCTACATTGAGTGCTTTCGGCGAATGAATATACATATATATGCATATATATATATATACATATACATGTATACATGTATGTGTATGACTATATTCAATGTTCCTTGTTTTTAGCTAATAACCCCTATGTAAGCGCCTTGTTTGAATTTAATTGAATCAAAAACTGAGCAACTTAATAAATAATGACTTAATACGATGCTTGCTTAAGAGCGTGAATATGAATTCAGTACGAATAGGTTTCATTTATGTTAATCGCATACAGCCATTAATGTCTGTGTTAGCGTCGCAATAACCAATCTAAAGAGTATTTCTTCCATTGATCAAAATGATCATCCTTACAATTAGACAACACTATTGTTACAGTTCAAAAGTGTACGAGTAATAGAAATTGAAAATAGTTGTGAAATTTGTGTTTGATGAAGTGCTGATGATCTATGCAATATAAAGTTGAGGTTATTGAAAAGACGCGTTATGTTTGTCTGATTTGGTACACTGCGTTCATATGTGCACTCTTGATATGATTAGTGCCATCGGCTGAAGATCTCGATCAAATTTACTCATCGTCGAAATTTTCGTTCTTCATCTATTAAGAGGGATTCCGCCGATGCTGGTCTTTGATGATAATCAATGATTCTGTATCACGGTTTCCTGCCATAAAGTTTATTACAAAATCTTTTAATGTTTGCGTACAGTCAATGTTTTATTTGTTATCAGAATTCCAAACATTTTTATTATTGCCATATTTGCTTGTGTCAAAATTCAACGCGTTTACTCTATCCTAACTAAGCGCGGTTAGTTAAGGGAAGAATACCGTTTCGCTCAGTCAAATTAGCCTAAATATTGTGTAGATTAGCATGGATCTCATTATGCGCTATCATTAGTGGCTGATGTGCTAGGTAGATTCCCGTTGTAATCATGATTAAATGACATGGTTG